CATACACACCCAGACATCAGCCCAGCTGCAAGCCCAGGCTCTTCCCTATGCTCCTGGAGAGGAGGTTCCTCCTCCTTGGGGTCTGTGAATGTGAGAATGGCTCACAGAACTGGGGGAAACCTGTTTACTCACTATGCTATCCGTTGATTACAAAGAATATTAAAGGGTAAGAATCAATATCTGATGAAGGGATACATTGGGTGAGGCCCTGAGCAAAGGAGGTTCTGTCTTCGAGGAGCCTGGGGCCCAGTCGGTGGAACAGTAAAGTGTTCTGGTTCCCCACTGAGGAAGCTCTCAAAAGCAAGGACAATAATGAGCTGTCCTCCTGGGCCTTTATGGGGGCTTCATACATAGTCATGATTAACTCAGTCGCTGGCCATTGGCAACTGCACTCAACCTTCAGCCCCTCTCCCTGCCCAGAGGTGGGCGGTGGGGGTGGGACTGGAAGTTCCAAGCCTCTACTCACTTGGTTGGTTGTCCTGGCAAACAGCCCTCACTTTTGAGTGGGGTTCAAAAGCCACCTCATCAACATACAAAAGATACCTTACTCACTCTCAACACTTAGGAACTTCCAAGGAATTTGGGGAGCTGTGAGCCAGGAACTGTGGATGAAGACCAAATACTTTATGCATCACATGTTCACACACACTCCATATTCCTGTTCTTTCATTTCAGTTGGGCTGTGGGTTCTCCAAAGCATTGTCCTCCTCAAGCCTTCCCCACCACCACCCTGCCACTACCTACTCCGCCTCCCACTTCTGAGCCACTGACCTTACTCTACTTCCCTGAGACCCAAGCTGGCCATCAGTAGCACTCTCTCCATCACCTCCACCTCAAAATCACCTCAGGCTGCAAACCCACCCTCTCCGTCAGTCCACTGGCATCAGTGGAAGGAGTGAGCCAAGACTGAGCAGTGACTGGAGCAGCCCGTCTCACCCCCAAGCCAGTCTCTACATGTGTTCTCATCCCCACCCTTCCCCACCCCTCCAGGCCTGACTCCCCTAGGCATCCCCTTCCACCATTCTAGCTTCCTTGGGCTCTCTCCACTGCCTCCTTTCTCAAAGCATATAAATGCACAGATTCGTGCATTCACTCTTTTCCCACAAACACCAATTAAGTGCTAAAATGTGCTATGAGCTAAACACTCTTGTAGGATCTGGAGATAGAGCAGTGAAGAAAATAAAATCTCGACTCTCATGGAGCTTACGCTCCAGTGTGGAGAGTTGGCCAATAAACAGACAGACAAATAATGTAGCGTGTCAAATGGAGAAGACTACACAACAAGCTGAAAGCCATTGGCAATTGCACTCAAAGGGCGCTGGGCATGCTGTGAACTGCAGAGGAAGGACGGAGGGCCAGAGAGAGGCAGGCCATGCCACAGAAGGGCCTACTATGGGTGAGGCTGCTGTATGATGGTGGAGGAGAAGCTGCTACGGGCCTACAGCTTTGCTGATTTGTTGAGAAGCTTCTGGATTCTGATGTGGCACAGTGCAATAGTTTGGATAATGTTCCCACCACGTTCTTGGTCCTGGCGTGTGCTGTAACGGCAAGAAGGCTACCCCTTTCTGCCCTAAAACCCCAGTGGGTCTGGTTGATAATGGAGTGCAATAGCTTGTCCAAGACAAACAATTCCCTCTCTTGCCTGTGGATGGGGAGTAGAGGAATGCATCAGCTCTTGGCTCTATTGCGCGTTTTGGCAAACGAACGTAATAACGACTTCAGTGTGGTCCTTCCAGCCTATCTTCTCATCTAGGCCCAGGTGAAGAGGAATTTGGGAGAGGATTTGACTGAGTTATAAATATAATACTTCCCAACAACTGATTAAGGAACCACCAGGCTGGAAAAATAACTCTTTGCTTCATTCTCTTAATAAATATATAAAAGTATTAAACTTTTATAATTTATAGGGTACTTTCGTATGCCTAATCTTATTGAATATTCAACATATTATATGACCCAAAATCCGTTATAATTTATCATTGAGCTAAACATATTTTCCAGTTAGCATGGGAATACACATTCTTCGCAAAAAAAAAAAATTATTTTCATTGCTATTTGTGTTTAGAGTCCGTTAAGAATTGTCTCAAATTACACAAGAGACTTCCTATCTTGAAAACGTAGGATCCTGGAGTGGATAGCTTTACATTCCACATGCATTAATAATGGTCTTTCTCCAGCACTCCCAGCAGATGCCCCAGCATACCAATCTCCATGTTCCTCATGCTTGGGATGTGTGATTCCTCCATGAGCTACATTCTGCTCTAGGCAACTTCTATTTTGGGACTAAATTGTTTCTTTATATAGAAACCAGTACCTTTGTCAAATCAAGTGAGTACATGAGTCATTTGTGCATTTCCTAAAAACCGTCACAGCAAATTTTTCTCGTCTGCTATCCATTTTCGTTTTTAATCAGAAGAAAATGCATTAACAATGCAAATGTCTTGGTGAAATGCCTAAGCTTTCATAGACCACTGCTAAAATGAAAATGCTTTCTGGTGGTAACTGAATTTCACACTTGTTTAAAGAATGATGACATCACCATTTGCATTTTTACCAACCAAGTAACTATATGCCTCTGCTAACTTGGGGGCTCCACTTCTATAATTCACATTATGGCCTTTTAGATAATACTGAATGGTCTGAGACGTTGGTGCTAATTAGGGCTTAGAAGGTATCTCATGGTGACTATAATTCTGACAGCACTTTCCCTGTGATTTGAGGAATGGGGGGGGGGGGGGGGGTTCTTTCCTCATATCCTAGGTGGCTATATATGATGAGATTTTATTTCTTGTTAGTTTAGTATATTATGCTAAGGGACTGAGGCTATGGGGAGAGGCTTTGCTTTCTGTGCAAAAACAAATATGGATGCCTAAAGAGTCACCTAAGGCCCGGCCAGCGTGCTCAGTGGTTGAGCGTAGACCCCCAACCAGGAGGTCATGATTCAACTCCCAGTCAGGGCACATGAACAGGTTGCGGGCTCCATCCCCAGTAGGGGGCGTGCAGGAGGCAGCCGATAAATGAGTCTCTCTGATCATTATGTTTCTATCTCTATCTCTCTCTCCCTTTCCCTTCTGCTCTGAAATCAATAAAAATATACATATATATATTTTTAAAAAGAGTCACCTAAGGATTCTTTAGGCATCCCCAGAAGAAATTAGAGGACAAATAGTAGGTGTGTCCAATCTTCTAAGGAGTTTGAGGCCAAACAATAGACTCAATTGTCTGAACCTTTCTGAACCTTTTCTGCCTGGGCCTTATCTCCTGATCACAGTAGCTAGTCAAGTATCATGAGAACACTCATTCCTGTGGGACCGAGGCTGATACCTATTTCTCTCTGCTCCTTTGTCTTCTGTACAACTGATGGGTTAGAGAGAGAAGAGGCAGATGAACATGCTTGCTGGATTCTTCTCACTGGAGAAAAGAAGAAAAGAACTAAAAGAGCTAAAAGAACATTAGTACTGCTTCGCTGCAATATTGTTAGACCTTTCATTGAACTAAGGGAACTTCTGACAGTGTCTTTGTGAATAATGCAGTAATGTTAGTTCCTAATGTTCTAAAAGGCTTTGGGAAAATGGGCACTATAAGTTTTCCTACTCCCAATGAAAACACAGTGGAAATTCACTAGTTATTCCAAGTAATGTTTTCATAAAATATGTTTTTATTGATTTTTAGAGAGAGAGGAAGGGAGAGGGGGAAACAGAGATAGAGAAAAAAAACAAACACACCACATCGATGTGAGAAAGAAACATAGATCAGTTGCCTCCCACACCCATCCAACTGGGATGGAACCTGAAACCTGGGCATGTGTCCTGACCAGGAGTTGAACTGGTGAACAGTGCACGGGACAACAACCAACCGACTGAGCCACACTGGCCAGGGCCCAAGTAACGTTTAAAACGTGAAGTTATTCTGAGTTATTGTCATCAGATTGCTTATCAAATAGGTGTTCTATGTTCCTAGAAAAATGACTTGGGGTATTAAGACTCAAATCATTTGAAAGAAGAAGAAAGTCTCAGATTTGCCCTGAATGAAAAAGAGAATTATTTTCACCTTTTCTTTTACCTTCAGTTTATATATTACATTGAAATAGAGAACGAGGGTGGAGGAAACCTTCCAGAATAAGAGAGATAAAATCTGATAGAGCAGCAAGGCCATATAATTGTAGGACACTAGTACTTCTTTCTCTGGAGTGTGGAAGGGGGAAATGTGGGCCATTTGCTGCCATAGAAACCAACTGAGGTATGTGGGAGGGGGAGGGAAGGCCCATTGCAGGAACGTAAAGATCTTACTTTTTTTCAAAGTTGAAGTGTTCTCTAGTCAGTAAGGGACCTTGCTCTTGGCCGAAGGTAGGTAGGTATGTGTGTGTGTCCTTTGTACTGAAATCAGTTCCAATCTGCCTTCCCTACGACTTTGCCTTGTGAACCTGGATTTTCTGTCTTTCAGTCCAGTGTTTCCTTAGAGCAGTGGTTCTCAACCTTCCTAATCCCGCGACCCTTTCATACAGTTCCTCGTGTGGTGGTGACCCCCAACCATAAAATTATTTTCGTTGCTACTTCATAACTGTAATTTTGCTA